GCGCGTCTAGATTGGCATGGACGCTTTTCCGCAAAAAGTGCTTTTGTGGAAAAGCGTCTGTGCCAATCTAGATGCTCTGTTCCGAAAATGCTTTTAATGGAAAACTTTTCTGTTAAAAGCATTTCCGGAAAATCATGCCAGTCTAGATGTAGCCAAGAAGATTGTTTCACGGATGGTTAGAAGATTCAGCTTTAGCTTAGCCACTGTGGCTCAGTTTAGCGATTAATTCGTTATCAGCCTGGCTCCAAAGTAAAATCTAGTTAACTACAATGACGCATTATATAGATTTTACTCATTTTTGTAATTGTTAACTTTAACATCTGAAGTATTTGTAGTAGTTCAGGACAGTGATACAGTAAATTTAGGATATACTGGTGTAGTGTTCTGACAGGCAGGGGCGGATATACGGCAGGGTGAACGGGGCGGCCGCCCCGGGCCCCACACTTCAGAAAGCCCCGCGCATGCGCCGTGGCGCTGCTGCGCATGCGCATGGCGTCACTGCGCATGTGCCGTGGCAAAGGGGGGGCCCTGCGGAAGTATGCTGCCCGGGGCCCTGCAAAACTGTCATCTGCCCCTGCTGACAGGTCTCCGTCTCCATCAGTGATTATGAACCGCATGCGTTTTTGTATGCTTCCTCGGTACATTATGCCAACACTGTGCAGGAAAACTTCACAATAGCATAATAGACTTCACAAGAGCCCTCAAAGACCACAGACTTAGATAAGATACAAAAGCACCTGAGTCAAGTTTATTGTTGAACGAACTACATTAATAGTTGTCGGCAGTCAGATGGACTTAAAGCCCCTACATATTTGTACCAGGAACAATGGCTGTGGCTTAATTGATAGTATGGATTTTACTATTGCCCCCCAGGTTCGCCAAAGAATTAAGTCGAGGTACCCCAATATTTATAGATTGTTCATTTCAGTCTAATACCCACTGAACGTATCATCTCACACATTAATGACACATTTGGTACTTTCCCTTGTACTTTCCTCCAAAGCATTCACTACCCGTTGTTATGCTTTTACTCTTGTTGTTTCAGACTATTGTATTATGTACTTAATTGGCTGTCCTTATACTGTCGTGGTGGCATTTATTTACATACTTCTTGTGCTTCTATCCATACTAGCAGTTCAAGTGCTAAAAAACACTGACTTTTAGGCAAACATCTGCTTTTGACATGCCCTGTCTATTACTCAGGATACGTCTACACTACAGGGGTTTTGTGCAAAAACAATTGTTTTTGCACAGCGTATCCACACCTCAAGTGCATTTTTACTCAAGTAAATTTACAGTGAATCAACAGAACACAGGGCTTTTTGCAATATAGATATTCCTCTTTTCATGAGGAATAACTCCTTTTTGCAGACGAGTTCTTGCATAAAAGGTGTGTGTAGACGGGCAACAGGGGGGTTTTGTGCTAAAAGAGCCAAAGGAAAAAAGAGCAGATGCTCTGGTGGCTATTCTGTGAATAGCAATCACAGCTTTCTTGCGAGAGCATCCATGCAGTGTGGACACTCTCTTGTGCAAGAAGTTTTTGTGGAAGATCTCTTCCGTAAAAAGAGTCGTTCACAGGAAGCCTTTAGTCTAGACAAAGCCTCACACTATAGCTCTTGTTTACTTTGGTTCAAACATCAGGCCCATGCTTCAGGCTCTTTCTTTCTCGTACATTATTCAGTTTCCAAAAACCTTTTTGAGACTCACAACTAGATTAGCCCATCAGATTTTGATTTGTAGAACTGATTTACTAACTGAAAATGTCTTATAGATTAGAAATTTTAACTTTTTAATAATCTGAATATAATTTTCACATCAATACTTTCCATTTATATAGTATGATGGACACTCATGGGTCCATTTTTCTTTTGGGGGAAATGTAGGCACAGATGTTTAAGAAACTCATTCAAGGTCACACATGAGGGTTTGTCTAGACCAGGGCTACTCAACACGTGGCCTGCGGACCACACGCGGCCCGCGGCCCGTTTGCAGCCCGCAGTGCAGTTTGGACTTACGTGGGGCTCAATACGTGGCTTGCGGGTGGGAGCCCAAATAAAAAAGTAGTCAATATAATGGTCTTCTGTTGATATGCCTTTTAGTAGTTACATTCCTGGACTGTCGTTGCTCAGCAGAAGTGTTGTCATGTGGGTGGAAATTGGGTAAATATTTCATTTTAGTTATATCAGCAGAACCGACTTAAATGGAGTCTGGACCCGTCTCTCTCCTCACCTTTTAGTTATATCAGCAGAACCGACTTAAATGGAGCCTGGACCCGTCTCTCTCCTCACTCACCACCATGTGGGTGCCACCGCTGGTGAAATGGCTCAGCTGTTTTTAAAACAGTAGCCATTCTCTACGTGGTAGCTGCCAGAGCTTTAGCCATCTGCTGTGTGGCGGCTCAAGGGGCCAGGATTTACCCCAATCCCGACCTGACCCATGGGTCTCGCTGCCACCTGCCCTGCACCCTTGGTTACATGGTTAGTATTTTTAACCCTTTTTACATACTGACTTTCTTTTGTGTCTATGCACTACTTAGTACAATGAGGTCCTATTCCATGTATAGAAGGGCTCATATGCATTATGATAATACAAATAAAAAATAATCCATTGTGAACTGAAAATCAAGTACAAGTGCATGAAAGGAGTGTTAACTATTTTGTCCTGACCTTTTTTGTTAAGTCTGGCTTTTGCTGGTCTGAAAGCCAGAATTCTACAGTCACTTTTTCATAATAGTAAGAAGTTCACTTAATATGGGAAACTGGAATGTTTAGAAGACTAGTAATGGGATAAAAACCTCTTTCCTACAAGTCATACATTATAAACAAGAGCAAACAATGATTTAATGATTGCCTGTTCAGTGAAAAGCACTGATGATCTCGATCAATTACAGTGGAAAGGGTTAATATTTTAAACTGGAATCTACATTCATAGAACCATAGAGATGTAAGATTGATAGGGACCTTGAAGACCCATTTAGTTTAGTCCCCTGCTGAGGCACCATCACATATACCTATACCACGCCTGACAGGTATTTTGTCTAACCTTTTCCTAACAACCTCCAGTAACACGGATGCCACAACCTGTGCTTAAAATACCTTATTGTTAAAAAGCTTTTACTACTATCTAACCTATATTTCCCTTGCTGAAGTTTAAGATGTCATGTTCTCCTTGTCTACCTTCAGTTGACATGGAGAACAACTGATCACCATACTCTTTGTAACCACTCTTGATATGTTGGAAGACTATTATCAGTTCCTCAGTTGTCTTTTCTCAAGACTAAACATACCCAGTTTTTTAACCTTTCTTCACAGATCAGATTTTCTAAACCTATTATCATTTTTGTGCTTTTCTGTGGACACTCTCCAATTTATCCACAGCTTTGCTGAAGTGTTGTGACCTCTTCTGGGCACAGTACTCTAGCTGAGATAGAGCAGAACAATTATCTCCCTTATCTTAAATACAACATTCCTGTCAACAAACCCCAGAATTATACTAGTCGTCTTTCCAACTGCATCATATTGTTGACTTGTCTTTAATTTATGATTCACTGTGAGTCCCAGATCCTTGTGACCAAATTTCTTGTGGTCCCATAAAGCCTGTTTATAGCTGCCAGTCCTGGCTCTCAATGCTTTGTGCTGCTGTTCAGCTCTAATTTACACCTAAATGTCTTCTAAGAGCCCAATAAACAGTGGAAGTTTTGGTAATGCTGCTAGACAATATTGACCTTCCATGGTTCGGCAAATTCTCTGGTTCAGCGCTGTTCAGGTCTGGAGGGTGCCAAATGAGAGAGGTTCAACCTGTATTTCTTGACTTTACTGAATTCTTCCAATTTGTTAAACCAAAGTGCTAGCAACTCCTCCCCACTTAGTGTCATCTGCAAATTTTATAAGAATACTCTTCACTCCATTATTAATGAAAATTATGAATAGCACTTTGACCTAAGATCCCTGTAAGACTCTACCACATAGATTCTCATCCCTCTCCATTTTGATGACAAACATTAACAACTCACACCACAGTGTATAATGGATGAGCCTTGCAATTTCATTAAATAATGCATGAATGTATATTTTATCGACCACTTATACACAGCTACATTAATCATTTTAATTTGCTTGAAATTAAAGTAAAAATTAATAGTGTATCAGAACAAAATTTGTTTCAATGTCTAAATTGAAATCACAAAGAAATTAAATGGTAAAGTGTAATTTGTTTGCCAACGTCATCCAGACAAATGCTGACGTGCCAGTAAAGAAATATGAATGTATATTTTAATTTAAATTTAAACAATACTAAAATTCAATAAACTACAAGTCTTGTCTAATTAGTACTTATAGATCTGACCTCTAAAATATGCTTGACTTTTCCAATCCATTTGTATTAAAAGACTTCATGCCAATGTACTGTATGATGATAATTTCATTCGTTGTTTGGCTCATCTTTCTCAACTGGCAAACAAAAACATCCTGGAACTTGTTTTAGTGTTTGGAGATTTTCTTGCATGCATCCTAGACCTTTTCCTTTTGAAACTGTATGAAAATCTGGGATTTAATTTCAAATTTAACAAGAAAAACTTGGTGTTTTGAAGCCCATGAT